TTTTAGTAAATGTTATCATTGTATTCGTATTTTAGAAAAAAACTGAAATTCAACGAATCATATATAGTATTTAGCTCGAAATTTAAAGTATGTATGTAAATGAGAAATTTCTAGTCAAGCAATGGATATGTATCTGGTCCTTTTTGTTAAATATTATTCCAAAAGCTATTTAAATATTAATCATGGTCCTTCTTGACTCAAAATATAAAATCAAGTTTAGAACACTAATAAAGACAGTGGGACCGACTTTCTATTTTGCCTCTTGATACGATTGGACAAAGTATCCGTTAAATTCTTTTCAATCCTTTATCAGCTGTCTAATTTAATCTAATTTTTTTGGATAACCATATCTCTACGAAACAATAAATACTAAAATCATTCGTAAAAAAACGGAAAAAATCATACGCTGGAAATTTTGGATAACTATAAATTTACGAAGCAATGAATACTAATATCAATATTCGTTAGAAAACGAGACAAAATACGCTGAAACTTTTGGATAACCACAACTTTACGGAACAATAAATACTTAAAATCAATATTCGAAATCAATATTCGTTAGAAACGAAACAATTCATACGTTTATATTTACACGTACAAGTTACAATTCAAATGTCCTCACTTGAGATCATTCCTTGAAAAGTTAAAACCCTCTAACTCGACAAGAGGCTTTGTGCTCTTGGTTTTGGGTCTCATCGACTATAACCAAAACAAAACATGTCTTAACTGATTTGTCTGTGCCTTTGGTGGAAACAGAGCCTTTGATCACTCATCAACGCATAATTAAACATATTTCTCTCAAATAAGCATGTAATATTTTTCATGTTGGGCCGTATAATCCTCTTTTGAATCGGACTTGACGTGCAAATTTATCTCCTTAATAATCAGGATTATATCAGGAAAAAAACGGATAATTATTTGTCTTTTATTTTCTTATAATTGTTACATTTCCCCAATCTGTGTCATTCATGAATAATTGCCCATAATTCGTGAATACGTACGTGTCATTATCTTATAAGATTGATCTATTAATGATTGGCAATAAAATAGACTGATCGGATATAAAGTGTAAAAGATAAGATATGAAAGGCACATAAGAATCTTAGAGGATTTTTAACCTAAAAATGGGTCCAATTTCGAGTTTGGTGTAACAAACAACTTACACCAGTTCGTGTGAAACGTGCCCCTCGTGTGATATATATGAATGGGTCAGTAAAAA